AAAAAGAAGTTTTTTTTTTCTTAGCTCTAATAAGGTATATATATATATATATACTATATACTGGTTTCTGTATTTTCTGTCCTACCTTCTTCTGAAATGAGTAATTAGATTTCTAAAGCAGTTTTTGTTTTCCCTTAATTTTAATGTTTATTTGGTACCTTTACTATGTATACTTTTCTAATTTTAGCACGAATTTTTAAAACTGTTTGTTACGGAACCCTTAGCATGTAGCATATATAATATATTATATCAGTTGGGAATAGCATATAAAAACTAAAAATCTGGTTTAGACATAATACAATTAAATTACAAAAAAAAAAATCCTCTCTAGTATAAGTCATAATACATATGATAATATATTACGAATATATAAATATAGCAATGAATTTAAATTTAACAGTAATGAAATCCCAGCACATGTTTATGTCTGTTGCCAAAAATAGATTTCAAATTATTTCTTCACTATTTCATTCCAAAGTTTAATATTTCAGCTATGGGAGATGTACCACCACCCATAATCCTCCTCGGCCCTGCCAATCAAACTCTTCCATTGAACACCGAAGTGAAGCTGCCGTGCGAAGCATCCGGAAACCCGACTCCTTCAATTCGATGGTTATTCAATTCTGGACCTATTCCAAACAACCCCCGATTTAAAGTTCTCGAGTCTGGAACTTTAAAAATCGATGGTAAGAATACGAGATATATCCTGGTTGGATTTTATTGGTTATCGAAAACTTTTCGAAATTTGTTGGAGTGGATTGAAAGACAATGCAAATATTCCATTTTTTTTCCAGCCCTTCAGTCAACAGATTCTGGCTTATATTCATGCACTGCTTCAAGCGAGAGTGGTGAGACATCATGGAGTGCATCTTTATCAGTAGAATGTGAGTGCTTTGCTTTATTTTACGGGAAATATTTTGCTTTACATATCGAATTTACGCACAAAATTTGCTTTACATGAAAGAATTCATGGCATTTGAATATATTTTTGCGAGATGCTCATTGTGGTTTCAGCATATTGTATAGAGCATAAGAGTTGGATTTAAGCCATCAGCTATTATTAGTTAAATTGGTTAAGCCTCTGAGCATCAGTCGTGGCTTTTTTTCTGAACTTTAAACTAGTACTTTTGTGCATAAAAATACCTCTCTCGTGTTATTCAATCAGAAAGAAGCATACAATTTGGAGTTTTTTTAATAATTTTACTCCGAATTGAAATTGTTTTGAAAAAATAGTTTACGAAAATTATCAATGAATTTAAAGATGGCGTACATTGCTCTAAGTTGGACCGTAAAAAATGGTACAAACATGCAGGGTGTAACGAAACTAACCGTCTCAACTATATAAGATTACAGAACTTTATCAAACAAATAACTTTCACCCTGCAATAATGTGGGGTCAGAATACAATCAGCAGGTCAGAAGAGGACGCGAGCTTGGTGAAACTACTTTAGCTAGGCATCGTCTTCCTGCAGAGATGGTTTAGTGGTCGTGAACTCTTCTTTTGGACACCCAGGTCTCCCGATCATTCTTGCCTACCCTTACAAAAATTTAAGGTGCTTTTAAAGTGTTAAGCTTGATTTGAGGTTTGTTTGAAGCTAACTTCAAACACAAACTTACAAAATCAACCTCCCATGGTGTATGAAGTTGTTTTATTCATATTTGAGATAGTTTTGAGATTGATGGAAATCTACTTTATAGCAACCAGATTAGAGAAGTTGTTTTTTAGGTGTACAGGTTATTTTTTTACACTTCAGGCAAATAAGCATATTTGAGGTGGGAATAATTTCTTTTGATCTCAACTAAAAGTATCACTGAGCTATATGTGAGGTTAATTTTATAAGGTATAAATGAGGTTGGAATTGAGGTTTATTAATGAGGTTATTTTTGGTGCAAAGCATAACCTCATTTTCCATGTCAGGTACGTTCTGTACATCTGTCAACTCAAAAACACCTAATTTCTTTATAAGGTTAGAATTTTTTTCTCTCCTGGCATCTAAAAAGCACCGTTTACAAAACGCCCAAAGAATCACTTAAGAATACTGTAGCCCAAAATGAGAGAAGCAGCTGCAAATATATCAGGAATCTTCTAACGTTAACATTATTCAGTCCGCTGATGGGAAGCTTGTGCTGCTGTAGATGGAAACTCATTTGAGCCTTTCTTGTACAATTTTTAATTATAAAAATTACTAGCTCATTATTTTTCGCCATTAATGCACTCTCCATTTTCACTGAACATGCGCCATCTTGACGTTCACCCTTTACTTTCCGACCTCACATTGTGCAATAAAAGTTGTTTTTTTTAGCAACTCTCAGTACAGTTGTGATCATTAGTATTTTTACAGCCTGTATAGCGTACTCTGCATCTTGGGAATCACATTACAACGTAGGCATTAACAATTTTGGCTATTTCAATAGCTTGCACCAAAGAAAAACGTCCCCGATCTGTATACATTCCTCATGTTATCTACAAACACGTTAGGTAGAACTTTAAAAACTGTACAGATATCTAGATCTATGCTTTAAATAAGGTAAAAAGAAACTCAACAGTAACCTAAATAATCTATTGGATTGGATGGAAAGTTTTTACCGCGTTAAAAGCGTGTAATAAGAAGTGCATCAGAGCATGACCCAATGACCAGAGCATGACAAGGAAGAAAAAAAACCAATATCTGTGATCTATGAAAAAATCTAATATGTGAGATACTCAAATTTAAATTTTATTGAGCAAAAATTAAAAGTGCATCTCCGTATAAATAATCTGAATGTATTTTGTGCCACACTGAAAAAAGTATGTATATATAAATCCTTATACTCAGACACAATATTTCGGAATGAAAATCTATTTTATAAATATGTATGAGTACACGAGCCACTAGTTTTGTCCGTAAGGCAGTTTTAGACGTTATCGGTGCAATCGATGAAGAGCTTTTATTTTTCATGCAGCTTTTTACACAAATTTATTTTGTTTCAATTTTTGATACAAATTTATTTTGAAACAACTTTTGATTGTTCACTTCGAACAAATTTTTTCGCAGCACCACGGAATCCAAATGTGATATTTCATCGAGCCCCTGATCCCTCGACTTTTCCAAAACCTCCTGGTCAGCCGAATGCCCTCAATGTCACTGAAACATCGGTTACTTTGCACTGGCAAAGAAGCAATAACATGGGTGCTTCCCCACTCATTGGATATAGAGGTATGACTTTTGTTTAGTTCTATTTCCAATTTTATTCCGAAATTCTTATGCTGATATGTAATTCCAAATTATTAGTTCGATATTTGGTTCGTTATTAAATGATATTTTCCTTTTTTATAGTGGAATACTATAGTAGCGATCTCCAAAGTGGTTGGGTTGTCAGTGCTCACCATGTCGCCTCAGAAACTCATGTAGTCCACAACTTGAGGCCAGATACACACTACCAGTTCCTAGTGAGAGCCGAAAATTCCCACGGTCTAAGTCTTCCCAGTCCTAGTAGCAAAGTCATCAAAACCCATGGTATGTATTCAACTTCGCTAAATTAATTAAGTACTCCACAAACACAGGAAATAGATTTTTAAATATTGTAATCATCAATCAAAAGCCGCTTAAATATTACATTAGAATGTATTAGGGGATTTCGGATATCCTTTTGACCATCGCAACCTTAAAAAAAATCGTAACCTTTCTTCTAACCGATCTATACGTTTTTCAAAATGTAAAATTATTCATTAAATGATTTTTTTTTAGTTTACTAAATAGATTTGACCATAAAGAGAATTTAATGATTTCGATTAAACAAGCTGGAAGTACATATTTTTTTAAAAAATGAAGTTTAGTATTAGACCTTCTCTAGGTAACTAGATTAATGTATACCCTGAATTTTTTTCTAAAATCAACTTTTTCTTTTTTGCCTTTACTATAAGTCTCTAACAGAGCTAAGATGTTGAGATAAAAAAAATTTTCGCAATTCAAACTTTTTAAGAAGTTATAGTGGCCGAAACAGATGTCGCAGATAGCATAAATTGAGGGAGAAAAGTCATTTACTAATTTAGAAAGCATAGGTTTAATATAAAAATGATCTTGTGCGTTTTAATTGATTTTTTTAGTGCATACTACTGTCATTGTGTCACAATCGTTAAAGCACTGAACCATCATTGTGAAGGACCGGGGTTCTATCCTTGGTGAAAGCTTTTAATCCACTTAGCTTTTGATGAATGAGTACCCACTTCCAACTTCTTAACTTGTCTGGGAAGTATAAACGCAAAGCTGATCACACCATGCAGTTGGTCATAAAATTATAGGCTCTAATCTCCATGAATTTCCTGGCCCACAACAGGCTGTTGCGAGAGCGATTTGATGTTATCTCAACTAGAAATTCATGTCCTGCATTGCTAGATTAATTGAAATACTATTTTTATGACTATAGCTGTCACAGCCTAATGTTAAAAGCGTATAAATGTATTTACCACTCTATAGTAATGCTTTTTATATATGTTATAGTGATGCTATATTCTATAGTAATGCTTTTTATGTATTGGAAGTATTCTATGTATTGATGCTTTATATGTATTTTTCAAAAAAAGATTTTTGAAAAAGATTAACCAATAAACATTCTTTTAGTTCACAACAGACTATTCTAAAGTAAATCTAACTTTCTTCTTAACATACTTGCATAAGAAATCTGATAAGTTATCTTTTCCAGAAATGCATTATTTATTTCGATTTAATTCGTCCCTTAAGAAAAAAAAATCGGTCGTATTTTAATCACCTTTCGACTTTTTCAATTTAGTTTTCATTCACATAGAAAATCCTTCCTATCGAATTTCGAATTCGTTGAAAAATGGAAAATATTTTACAATAATAGAGACGTAGGGATATTTCCCTTTTTCCAATGTTGCAACCCTATATCCAGATCAGCTCAATCACTGATGGGAGGGTAAAAAATGCCTTGACTAGCGGGAAATCAATACTAAACCTCCACAATTTTTCCTTTTTGTAACACACAGTCTCATTGATCTGAAGCTTTCTTATATTTCCTTCCAGTATTGATAATCGATTTTAAGAAGCTTTTTTCCCCCCGCTTTTCTGTTTTCCCCCATTTTCCTGTACTTTTTTTTCCCTTTCAGGTCTCCCCCCTCACATGCTTCCTGACTATGATTTGGAAGAGGCACGGATTCAACTGAGCAGCATAGCTGTGGAACTTCAGGATATTCGAGCCATTAGTTCAACGGCTGTGAAATTGTTCTGGAAGGTAGGTGGCGCCACCACAATTTTCAAGTCCGATAGGAATTTCAAGCGTTAAAGGATTATCAAACATGAATTTCTCAAATTGAGAAATCAACGATTTGGAATTCACTGAATTCGAATAAATAGTTTGAGGAAAGAAAAATATCGCTTTAAAAACTTTTAATTGCTCATTAACTTTGATTTTATAAACAAATTATCTTTCGCTTAAATGTGAAAGTCAATAAATTAAGATTTGAATACACGTGAAAGTTTTTGCTCTAATAATTTATAGAACAATATTTTTGAAAATTAATTTCCCAACTGACTAGTACAAAAAGTAAGATAGCCTTATATCAGTCTTTTCCTTATTTATAATTTTTTTTAAATAAATTATTTTTCATTCATAATGTACATTAGATAATCTTTCAATTATTTTCAATGTTCATGAAAAGAAAATGAACAAATGCCACAAAATATATTGTGGTTATGAATTCAAAATGCTGAATGAAAAAGTATCACTTTTTTAACCTAATTAATCTTTATAATAATAATATGTATAAAAAGAATGAGATATAAAAAAATTCCGAAACACGGCCAATGTGTTTTTTTATATTATTATTTTATTATTTATTATTTTATTGTTATTATTATTATTTAAAGATATACTATCAAATTACAATTGTTACTGTGGGCAAATAATATGCCAGAGACACTTGAGTTTATTTTCATTTTGAACCAGATTCTTTTTCTTCTTGTGTTTTCCTGAGACAGAAGATTATCTAGTTTACATCTTGGCAGAACTCAATAAATAAATTGAGGCACGAACCCTTAAAAAGTGAAAAATGCTAACTGGCAGTAAGAAGTTAGACACGAGAGCTGAATTGAAAAAGTAAGACATAAGAAGCTTGGAAAAGTAAGACAGATTTCGAAAGAAAAAGTAAGACACGGAATATAGTAATGAAAAATTAAGTTACTGGAACTCACAGGAAAAGTAGGAAACAAGAAGTACGAAAGCAAAGGCATGAAAACTGTCTAAAGCCTTCTATTTCATGAAATAATTTTAACGACAAAATTTTTTTCTGATTTTTTTCGAACTTAAATTCTTAATACCCTTTCTTGAACAATTTTATAATGCGTTGCTTGAAGCTTTAATAAGAATGAGTTAACCTTGTTTGAAAATAAATTGCTTATCAATTCCTAAGGAAGTAGACATGCAAGAAGTGTGTATAGATTAGAATATCTGCTCTTAAAATAAGAAGTAATTTGATAATTTAATGAATCCAGACGAAACGGATATTTATAAATTATGTATTATTTTTTCATTATGTGGTGATTCTGAGGAATCAGAAATATTCAAAGAGACGAAGGTATCTGGAGATATTTCAGAAAAAGAAAGACTTCAGCAAAACATAAAATTAATTGAAAAAGCGAAGATATTGACATTGCTGGAAATAAATTTATTTTTAAGTAAATACTTGTTAGACAACTTTTGAAATGTCAGTAAAGTTATATTATTTTATTGTTAATAAAATATTCAATATTCGATTTTCGATATGCCGAATCTTCGATATCGGGGATTTTTAGGGTCACCTTTCGTATTCGTAATACCGAGGTTTAACAGTATTTTATAATTTCTGGAGTAATTAGGAGATATTAATTCGCCTAACTGAAAGTGATGCCATATAACACGTTTTTAACAAGATAAAAATTTCAAATTCGGACCATGGGTCAGATAAAGGGATAAACTAAAAAAGCTTAATTTTAATATTTTGTATCGTTTATCAGTGAGTTTTTATAAAACCAGGTCCCAAATCATTTTCTATACAAAGTATATTTAAAGGCTAATACTTTTGACGAATGTTTAGATATACATTCTAAACTGTAAATATATGTATGCTTATTTAAAAAAAAATATTTTAGTCACAATGTATTGCATCTTGTTGTTTCTAATGACACATGGACAATTCAAGATCGCCAGCCATTGGCCTTTTGCGAACAAAGTCAAGAAGATGCACCTTTCGTTTGACAAGAGAGCACCGCTAAGGAAGAAAATACGTCGTAGCTCAGAGCTCCACGGATAGATGGCAGCACCACTCATTCTTGATGCTACTTTTTCAATTTAGACGTTAATCGAAAGGGGAAATGAATTTTCTCCAGATCCCTGTACCTATGGTACTGCTCAGCAACAGACCACAGGACTTTCGAATCCACAGAATTTACGAGGAAGTATATCGCATGTATGAGGATCGAACCACGGCTCCTCTGGAGCGGAATCTGACTCTCCTACGGCCCTATTGTATCTTTTTGTGACATAAACAACTTTTATTTTGTAATCTCAAAATAGCTGTTAAAAAAGTCACATTATTTCATTTTAAATATAATCCAAAACACAGAAAGGCCCAAGTTTCATAAAAATATGTATAGTAATAATAATTTGGAAGTAGATTGTTAAAAAAAAACTGTTTGTTTTATATAGTTGTCTGTCACAATTGTTTTCAGGGAGCCGAGGAACACGTGGAGGGATTTTATATTCGTTTTCGTGACCTCAGCTCAGGATCACAGAAGTACAACATGGTGACTGTTCTAAACGGCGGAGCTTCTTCCTACGTCCTAACTGATCTCAGAAAATACACCAAGTACGAGTTTTTCCTGGTTCCTTTTTACAAGAGTGTTGAAGGCCCACCGAGCAATTCTCAAACGGCACAGACTTTGGAAGATGGTAAAGCTATATCAATGAGTTTTCTTAGAGTATACAAAATGAAAAATGATTTCCTCCTTGAAAAATAAGTTGACGTTGAGCCATTACATCGGCATTTTTGATCTTAAAAAATTGTTATTGTGAACCACTAGATAGTATAAATAGCGGTAATCTTAAAAAGATCTTACATTGAACCATTTTCATTTAAGTTAAAATGTATTATCGTGTTATCCGATTCGTTGTACGATAATAAGGCTAGATTTGTTACCGTATTAAGGTGCTGAAAATTTGCCTGATATTGTGGTTCAGAGTTTCAATATATCAAGCAATATAGAATAGTTAACTTAATAAAATTATCAGTTATATTTTAAATTAAAATATACAATGGTTGAAAAGACTGCAACTGTTTGAACATGGAGAGGAGTGACCTATTCTCTTTAACTAATACATTTCAAGTCACCTTCTTATTTTTTTTTAAATTTTTTAGAAGAGTCTTTGAAGGACCATCTAGCTATTCCAAAAACTGCATAAACTTTAGAAGAGGTTTTTAAACACTATCTCTGACTTTTCTGACATTTATTACATACTAATTAAAAATCAATTCCATTCTTTGAAGAATAAGTTAACTTCTGAACCGTTGTGTCGGCACTTTTAAATCTTAAAAAGGTGTTATATTGAAACACTATATCGTATAAATTTTCCGTAACCTTAAAACGGTCTTATATTGAACCATGTTAAAAGTTATATTTGTTACGGTATTAGGGTACGGCAAATTTGCCTGATATTATGGTTCAAAGTGTTTCAAAATTTCGAGGAATGTAGAATAGTTAACTTTGTAAAATAAGCAATCTTATTTTAAAATTAAGAGATATAACGATTGGAAAGATTGAATCCCTTAGAACATGGGGGAGAGTGACCGTTCTTTCCAATTTATTAAATTTAAATAATTTTTTAAGAGAGTGTTGAAGAAACCCTATTTGTTCTCAAACGGCTCAGACTTTGCAGAGATTTAAACGCTATGTTTGACTTTCTTTACATTAATAATATACAAATTGAAAAGCAATTACATTCTCTGCGAAATAGGTCCAACATTGAAGCATAATATTGGCACTTTAGACATTTTTAAGTTGTTGGATTGAACCGTTATATCTTGAACCCGTAGGTGTTATATTGAACCATATTTCATATAAGCAGGGTATTGTGTATTATGATTTGAAATAGATTAAGATACACGGCACTAAGATCAATTTTGACTCCGTATTAGGGCTCTTACTAATTTTTCTGATGATTATGTGCAATGCGCGTCGAAATTTCTAAGAACGTTGAATAGTTAACTTTATAAATTTAATAGCGATGTTTTAAATTAAAATATATAATAGTTAAAGAAACTTGAGTTGTTTGAGTTCGGTGGAGATGTGAGCCATTTACTTTAATTTATTATTTTATTTAATTTGATACGTTATCTATACCAGATATAATGATTGAATATATTCATGCTTTAATGTTCAATCTTTATGGTTTAAGTTACTTCTCCCGAATAAATTTATCTCACTCTTGTTCTTAATTTTTTTTCTGTTATTATTTTATTTTTATTTTATAACCGTCGTTGAACAGCCGACCCAATTTTGGGTTTACGACCATTAATGTCCAACTCCGCAGCCTTATAATTCTTGAACCAATCCAGAAGACAAGGAAACTCCGGGATCAGTACCGCCAGAGGTATTTATTTGTTATGGGAACATGGAGGACTTTGCGACTCGACAGATTTAACGTGCATCAGTCACCCTTTACTACACAGGGAGTCTTCTGTTGGAAAGGAATCGAACCCACGAACTCTTGGACATGGGCCTAGGGCCCTACCAACCAGGCTATCCCGGCCTCTTTCTGAATTTCTGACATTGGAAAATATGAGCAAAATAGTTTAATAAAAAGAGGGGTTCACAAATTTGGACCCGCCATATTGTTATTTTTGCTTTTTTGAGTGCTTCAATATTTCTGAAACTGTTTAAATAATTCAAAAGCTTTTTGCACACAATTTAAAACTCGAGTATCTCGGGTGCGTACTTAATAAATGGTAATCTGAATCATTAAATACTGGTGGAAGGAAAATGTTTACAAAAACATTTTAAAATTGCCAAAAAATCGACCTTTTTTTGCCTCTAGAATTTGGGGAAAATTTTTGCATAGATTAGTGTTCTGCCCTAGTGATTGTGATATAATTATTTAAAAGCTACTAATGATGTAAAAAAAAAACTTTACATGTAATTTCAACCATTTTCAGTATATATAGATTACAGAACATAGGTTACAAAAGTCTTGATGAATTATTGTGTAAATAAATTTATAAGCAATTCTTTTAGCTATTTAAAATTAGAACATCAATTTTTTTTCGTCGATATATGTTCATATTTATTTTGGCAAATATGAAAAAAATAAAACTGAAAGTTGATAATTTTACATGATTTTTTTTAAAAAAAATGCATCAGCAATTTAAGGAATTAAAGCGTAAATATTACTGTTACTAAAAAGGAAGCAATGCATCAGCAATATAAGGAATTAAAACGTAAATATTACTGTTACTAAAAAGGAAGCAAATTATCCACCACCATATTTCGAAAGCTCAAGGGTGTTCAATCTCTCCCCCCATTTTAACAAACAGCAAAAATACAAAATTTTTCTTTAAAAAAAGCAACGTGAAAAAAACCACTGTGGAAAAAAAGTTCTTCATGAAAAAAAAAAAATGAAAAGAGTCTCTTTACGAACATTAATTGATATAGTCTCTTGTGTATATAGAATTTCGAAAATACTGCTTGTCATGCCCATACAAACAGTGAATCTCAAAAATCTTTTTTAAAGCCTAAGTTATTCAAAAAAAATTGTAATCGATCTAATACTTTGGCATTATTATCTATAGAGAAGGAAATAAAAAACTGTTTTTCTTTAACTGATGTAATAAAAAATGTTGACAAAATTAAGTGGCAAAAAATATATCTTAAAAGGAATAATTTTTCTGTGTAAACTATTTTATTTACAATTCCACTTATTTTAAAAATATGTACGCATATTTAAAACTCCAACTCTATTAATTACCTTCATAATTATTTTAATTTCTATGTTTGTGTAATGCATGTAAGAATCGCCAAGTTTGTAACTGATTTTAAACTTAATTTATAAAATATTGTTCAAATTAATGAAAGTTTTGTCACCAATTTAACATTTGCGAATTAGTGTCTTTATTTATGTTATAAATGTTTCTTTAATTTTGAAGAGACATTGAAATTTTTATGGTCTGTAGGCTCCAATTTATCCATCAGCACGCGATACCTTCCTGTTTTGATCATTATATTAATTCATTCAAAATAAATCCTTATTTTTATAAAAAAGTATCTCGTATCTCAACTTCTAATATCTCATAAGTGAGTTATGTATTAATTAAAACTATAAAAAAAAATTTATAAACTACTTTTAGAGAATGCTTTATCTTCTATTTCTTTGTCAATAAAGTTGTATTTGCTTTACTAAATTTAAGGTAATTTTAAAGTATGAATTATATCCATCAATTAATTATTTGCTATTTTTCTTAAAAATAAGTTTTGAAGGAATCAACTGTAACTTTAAAGGATTAACTAAAACTTAAATAAGGGCATAATTTTTTTTTAAAGGTAATACGGAATTAATTTAAATTACAATTAAAAGATGGAAAATTAATAAATACAGAAATAAATAAAACAAAAAACTCGAAAAAAAAGTAAAACAGTTACTAAAAAATAAATTATTATAGCAATTATTAAACCACAGTAAACAAATTTATAATAATACACTTTAAAGAATTTATTAAAATTTAAAAAACTAAATTATGATTCTTTTAAAAGTAATGAAAATTTAGTTTAAATTACAATTTAAAAATAAAAAATTCGTACTAAAAAACTTAAATAAAATAAAAATTCGAAGAAAAAAAGTTAAAATAATCACGTAAAAATAAATTATGATGGCGATTAAAAAACCAAGGTATACAAATAAATAATAATAAACTTTAAAAGATTAACCAAAATTTAAAAAAAAGTTTATGATGTTTTTAAAGGTAATAAAAAATTAATTCAAATTATAACTTAAAGACGAAATATTCGTAAAAAATAAAAAAAATAAACAAAACAAAATAAAAGTTCGAAAAAGTTAAAACAATCGCCTAAAAATAAATTATTATGGCAATTATGAAACCAAGGTAAATAAATATATTATAATAAACTCTAAAGAATTGACTAAAATGTTAAAAAATTTATATTTTTTAAAAGGTAATAAAAATTAATTTAAATTATAATTTGAGGAAATATTCTACTAAAAAAATTAAAAAAATAAAAGTTCAAAAAAAGCTAAAACAATTACTTAAAAATAAATTATTATGTCAATTATTAGAGCAAGGTATATAAGTAAATAAAAATAAACTTTAAATTAATTTTCGATTACATTCTAAAAAAACATAATTTTTTTTAAAATTCTGGTTAATCTTTTAAATTATAATTTAAAGAGGAAATATTCGCAAATACTAAAAAAATTAAAACAAAATAAAAATTTGAAAAAAGTTAAAACAATTACTTAAAAATAAATTACTATGGAAATTATGAAAAAGGTAAATAAATAAATAATCCTTATTTGCGAGTCGCGAATCGAGGCATCCGGTGCACACATCAAAATTTTCAATTCTTCTATGGAATTAATAAATAATATTTTTTCCTAAAATTTATTACTTTCTCCCACAAAATACAAACGAGATAAAATGTTTGTAGAAAATGTGGCTCGCTTTTGGAAAAGGTCAGGACAGAAAACAATTAAAGAAGATTATTTTTATCCTTATTATGAAACTAAAGTAAATAAATAATCCTCGTTATTTCGGAGTAGCAGCTCGAGGTAACGGGAGCACACATCAAAATTTTAAATTCATCTATGGAATTAATAAAAACAAATTTCTCCTTAAGCTTATCACTTTCTCCCACAAAATACCAAAAGGATAAAATGTTTGTAGAAAATGTGGCTTTCTATGGAAAGGTCAGAACAGAAAACATTTAAAAAAAGTTTATTTTAATGTTTTTCAGTACCATCTGCTCCCCCAGACAATCTCCACGTTGAAATTTTAGGAATAACTAGTGCTGCCATCTCATGGTCTTCACCGCCACCACAACACATCAATGGCGGTTTGAAAGGATATCTGGTAAGATATCTTCTGCCACTATTTTACTGTACATGTTATGTTGAGTATTTTATTATGTGCTAAAATATTTTTAAAAAATCTAAGAATACTAAGAGATTTATCAATTTGGGATTACGAAAGAAACTTTTAAATTCAATATTTCAATCATTTATATTAAATTTTATTGATTAATTTAATTCGAATTTTTTTTAAAACAATAATCTTACGGTTTGTTCACAGAATAAAGGAGGCGGTTTATTTGATAGGAAAAACGAGAGAGAGAGAGAGAGAAATCTAAAAGCACGAGGTCTGTCAATATGGTGAATGAGGTAGAACATCCCACTAAGATATAAAAACTGTTGTCGAAGTGTTAAGGCCATATATTGTCCTAACGAAACATTACGTCTTTCATTCACCTTATTTTAATTAGCTAATTTAAACTCTTCACTCTTATAAGATAATTTTTAATACCATCATAATTCAAAAAAAAAATTTTTTTTTTTTTTTGAACGTTGAATTTGGATTTTTATTGAACGTGCTTTACTAATTTGTGCATTTATAAAAATTATTCTTAATGTCTTGTGGAAATATCTTATTCATTATTTAATTTTATTGAAGCTAAATATTCCCTACATAATTATTACGCGTATACGTTTTTACTGTTATTTAAAAATTATTAAAAAAAATGGATAAAGATTACAAATTTTCACAAAATTCAAATTTCATTTTTAAATATATATTCGAAACTAAATATTAATAAGAAGTATTTAAACTCAGTATCTCCTCTAACTCCTAGTTCAAAGCAGAGTTTTGTAATAATTTAATTGATTAAAAGTGGTTGATATCAATTTCTTGAACAGGCAGAAATCAAGTGGTTGATCATTTGATATCAAATTCTCTAAAATGTTACAAGTAGATGATAAAAATAATTAGTAATCAATCAAACTATTACTTATACGATTACAAGCACACATAATTTTGATTACAAGTAGCTATGGTTTCAAAACATTATTATTTATTATATCAAGTAATCAACATTCTACTTAAGTAATCAAGCAATTGGGATTACAAATAATAATGTATTCATGGGTAATTGTTTTTTGTCATTTCATGTTAAATTCTATATTTAATGAACTTCATTTCCTTCAACAAAAAAATACATAGCGAAATAAATATTTTCTAGTAAAAATTTTAGCATTTAATATTGCTATGATAAAGCAGTAGCGTAGTTGCTACAGTGACCTATGATGACCTTTACAACCATGACTTTGAAATTATTATTTGATAATTTGTAATTATAGATTAATATTATCTACCAATACATGCAATAATATTTACAAATTATTCAACAAAATGGATAAAAATTTCAAATATTCACAAAATTCAATTTTTATCTTGAATATATAGTCGAACCTGAATATTAATTGGAAGTATTTAAACTCATTATTTCCTCTTGCTCCTAGTTGAAAGTAGAATTTGGGAATCAAGTAATTGATTACAGGTGGTTGATATCAATTACTTGAACAAGCAGTAATCAAGTGGCTGATCACTTGCTATCAAAGATTATTACTAGTAACTTAGATTGTTACTAGAAATTGATAAAATTAACTCACAATCAATTAAACTATTATTTATACGATTACAAGCACAACAAATTTTGACTACAAATAACTGTGATTAATAGACATTATTTATAATATCAAATGATCAACATTCCACTTAAGTAATCAGAATTACAATAATGTATTAATTAGCTAGTATTCCATGTTTAAATTTTACATGAACAATTATTATTTCCTTCAAAAAACATAAAAACACGTAACGAAATAAATATTTCCTGGAAAAAAATCTTAGTATTTTCAATCGCTATGACAAGGAGGTAGCTTAGTTGCTACCGTGGGCTATGATAACCTTTGATAACGTGGCCTTGAAATCATATTTTAATAAGTTGTTTATTGCTAATACAGGCTAATAAAAATAATAACAATAGTCATCGCTAATTATCTGTTTTTGTCATATATTATGATTAATTATTCAGTAGTAATTGTAAAACATGATTACCAAAAACGGCGATTTTTAGATTTTTCGTAATGCAGACAGTTTATTACTATGTAGATAATGTTTGTCATCAATTACAAATAATTACTTTTTGTAATTGACGCCCGATTTGCGTAAATCTCTTTTAACCTCAAAATCTCATGAATTTTCTCTAAATATTTCTAAACTTTCAATACTTATTACTAAAGATTACTAAACTCTCTGTTATGCTACTAATTTATTACGCTGCAGTTAATATTTTTAATCAATTACAAATTGTAATTTCAAGAACACTCTTTTCCTCGAAACTCCACGAATTTTTGCTAAATATTACTAAACTCTCAATGCACCTAACTATTATGTATTACTAGATTATCTGTAATAATACTAATATCTCTGTTAATATCTATAAACCTTCAATTTAGTAATTAATTAATTACCTAACATTTTAGCTGCAGATTTATGACAACACATCCAGTCTACACTCCAATATTACCACAAACAGCACAACTACATCTGTGACATTAAGGAATCTCACAGCTGGTGTACTCTACAAAGCTAAAGCGGAGGCCTTTACGCATGTTGGAAAAGGTCCGTCAACGTCACTTCTTAATATCCTTATAGGTAAGGAGATATTTTTCTTAAATATTATGATTTTGAATTTTTGTATTTAATTAAAAATAGAAGAAAAAAATCACTACACTAATCTTCTCAGACAGTAACTTTTTATAGTCTTACACTTTTCATACCTAATGTATAACTATTAATTATAAAATTTAGTTTTAAAAATTCAGTTTGAGGAAGAATTTTCTTCTTTTTAACATGGTAACACTTATTTTCTGTTTACTGTTTTTTTTTCTTGTGGTTTGCGTACTCATTTGCTTAGACAAACGAAAGCTTTCGGAAAAGCCTTTTGTTTAAAAGTTGGCAGGTGACATTAACTGAGAGAATTTTTTTTTTAAATTTTGTAGTTAAGTAGCTCTTATTTATATTTTAAGAAACAAATTACTTTCCTATTTTTAATCTTTTGACGCAGAATTTTTACTAAACCTGTTTTTTATACTTTTTTTTATTATTTTGTATTAATTTAGGTCAAAATAAGTTAAAAGTATCATATTTAGCATTATAACAATTTAAGGTTATAAAATGCAGCCTTTTCTACATTAAAGGTAAAATCTACCTAACATGTCTCACTTTCAAACAATAATTTTTCAAACTATCAATTTTTTGCGGATATTTAGATCTAAGAGAAGCGGTTATTCATTAAAATTTCTTTAATTTACGAAATCAATTGCTCATAAATTTGTGAATGTGAATGGAAAAAAATCTTTTTTTTTTCCGACTACTTTTTTTTAATTTTAAATTTTAGAACAAATATATTTCCGATAATCAAACAGATTGTTTTCTATTCAAAAAAGAACAAAACTTCTTGAATTAATTATAGAACTTATAGCAAAATAAAAGATTCACCTTGGTGTGGAACTTTTGCGACGGATATTTGCGTTTACTTAACCAACTCACGTTACATTATCATATAGGTACTTACGTTGCGTTATCATAATGTTTGCGTTACATTATTACATCGATATTTGCGTTACATTATATAAATATTTGTTTTAGATTATCATATGAATATTTGAGCTAGTCCTAGTCCTGTCGGTTGGTCGGGGTGCCTGATGTCGGAGTGGCCCTTTACCAACACTAGAAGGTATATCTAGAGGGTATTGCCTCATCATGGAATGGAGGATCCTTGAGGTGTTCCCTTGTGGTCCTTGAATCCTAAAAATAAAAGTAGAGAGAATATTTGAGCTAGATTATCATATGGATATTTGAGTTACATTATCTTATAGATGTATGTGCTGCAACATCATATGCATCATTGCGTTGCACTGCAAGGCATTAATCTCTCAGTGAGAATATTTCATGCAAGGCATGGGATCGCATGGGAATTCCCTGGCATTTTTAATATTTCACATATTAACTAAAAGACTAATAGCTGCATCAATAAAATTATTTAGAAATATTTTGCAAGTCCTTGTCTAAATCTTGAAAGAGCTGAAGTCTAAATTATAGCTAATGTGTGTATTTTCATAGTGAAATGACTTGCAGTAAATTTTTCAGATCCTCATATGATTGGAGCCATGGACAGTGGTTTGTCGAGGAGATCATCTTCCATTCATACTATAGTACAACAACCATGGTTCATTGCTGTTCTAGGTAGCTTCATTTTCATTCTATTATCTGTCTTCCTCGTTGCCGTTTTCTTCAGGAGGAGACTTGCTTGGAAAAAGGCACTGGGTGTGCAAATCAATGGTAAGAAATCTCCTCCTTCCAATCAGAAGCAAACTGTATATATATGCATATATATAGGCTATAATAATTTTTTATTATACACTACGCAAAATAGAAATCAAATCTTAAATTAATAAAATCCTAAATTAAATAACGAAAGCAGACGCTAAAAGGTACTTTCTCTGAAAAAAACAGACATACTTTAATACGGATTTGGCTTTTTAACCCTCAAAATTAAGAGGATTATCCATCATCTGAAAATATGGTCGTAATAGTGAAGGAAAGGGTCAAAAGTATATTTTTCACGTAGATATTGTCGATAGATTTACACGTAGTTAGATTTTCCTTGCTACTACGAGAGGTCAAAAGTTTGGGTTGCATAATACTTAATAATTTTCGCTATATAGTAACAAAAAAGTCATATTTTAAAATTTTTATGTCTCAAAAACTAATTGAATCAATCTGTTCAATTACATTATGCAAAATAGTATACCGCATTTCCACATTGCGGCTACCCCCATCCTCATGTTTTGGGGTTCAAAAATATGTTTTTTTTTCTGAGAAAGTAGTCCGATTACGTAACTTAAAATATCGTCGCACGTTTAGGTTAGACCCTCAAATAATTAAGATTGCATATTAATACGTGAAAATCCAATTAGTGGACCAAAAGTTATTAAATATTTTCTTTTTCATTTTGCGCGCTATATATCATTGGATTTTGTCATCCGGAAGCTAAGTTACTAAAGGCCCATAAAAAAGAAATGTAACATAATTTCGTGGAAATATTTGTTATAATTTACAATACATTTATTACATAAATTATTATATTACAAAAAACGACTTCAACTACCTCTCAACATATGAACCACGGGTATTGTAACTCTCGTTATAGAGTAATTTGAGTAATACTAGTCCATAATCACAAAAATCTGCAGTATGAAAATACACTGAGAGCGTCATAGCTTTTTTATGTCTTCGTCTATGATAAAGTTTCCGCCAGTCAAGAATTTCGTCAGTTATAAGAGCAAGTAGAAATCATGTATGACAACGCTCGTCCCCAAATGGTGAATTCCACTAAACACCTGATGCAAAAGTAACACTGGAAAGTGTTTGACCATCCACCTTGTGGCCCCTATCTTGCTTCTTGTGACTTTCACTATTTCTTGCATCACCTAAAGAACTTCCTGTCCACTCTACACTCTTCAAGGGGCAAAAATGTGCAATCAGACAATTGTGACACTCTGGTTCCATTCCCAGGTGGCAGATTTTCATCTCATGTTGAGAAGTAGTTGAAATGTTGACGTTATGTAACTTTTTAATGTAATAAATGTATTATAATGTAAAATTTTTCGATAAATCTTTTCAGGTAATTATGTTGCATTTCTTTTCATAGTCCGTCGGAATTCTTTTCCGGTAGACTTATTTTTTACTCTAATATTTATTTAATTAGAGAGATTCCGTGATTTTACTGTAATTATTATTACAAAAATTACGGTATATCTGGGTTTTTATCCGTATGGTAAAAATGAATTTTACGGTAAAATGTGAGTGCCGGTACTGTGAGTGCCCTGAGCGCCGGTACTTTTTACCGCAACAGTGTATTTGAATTAAATACAGTGGAATCGAATAAGAATTATTTTCTTTATTTAATAAAGTTGTTTAATAAAATTTTTTAATTAAACAATTTAAATTTTTTAGTTTTAATGACTGTGTTATGTGAAAATGCTTCATAGCTAAAAAAAGTATTTTTTTCTCTCTTTAGTGCCTATTCACAAAACAGAAGGATTGAGGTGAGAATTTCTTATCAATGTGTAGCATATAGCATTAAAAATAATATATTTGCTGTATTGAAAAAATAAAGAAAATTTATCACAGTTTACATATATACATATATATATAAAAATTGTGAAAAAGGGTGATAACAAAATTGCTTGGAAGAGTAACTATGAAAGTATGATAATAAGCGTGCCAAGTTGGTTTCTTTTTTTAAATTTCCAACGCGAAAGCATTTTCAATATTTTCCATATTATAATTTAAGAAATTTTCATGTTCGTGATTAAATTCTACATAATTACTAATCATTTTATCAGTAGAATCTGTATTTGTTTATTGTCTCCTGTTTAACAATTTTATGAACATTATTAAAGCGAACTATTTTACAGAGGAGGAACGTAAAATTACTATAGATTAGGGTTGCCGCGAGTATAGCTAAAAATAAAATTAAAATGCAGTGATGACCTTAATATATACAACGAAAGGAAGTAAATTAATTGAAAATGAATTTAAACTGCAGGAAAAGGTTAACTTTTACCCATTAAATAAGAATAAACAATCCTAGTTGTTAAGAGTAAACATTTAACCGAAGAAAGAAAGTAAGAAATAAAAACAAGACAGCTTTTGATTTGAAGACTGCATTGGATGCTGATAAAAATAAATACATACAACAGATGTCAAACAGCAGACTCATTGCAAAAGCAGTCAGATATGACATGTGCTTGTCACAAAACAGATGAATAATATCAGCTGGTGGCCATCTTTTCCCAAAATATTTAATCCTGCCATCCTGTCATTTCACGACAAATCTTTATCTGCATATAAAACCTCAATGAATAAATTTGAATTATAATAAGGTACGTCGGCGTCTCTTGAAGAAATGCAGTCGGATCAGTGTTTGGCCCGTCCTCAATGCTGTGTTAACTTGAGAAGAGAGGGTGAATTTAAAGCGATGTACGTAAATTTCTGAAACAAGTTTAAGTTGCACATAAATTGATTTATTGTTTATATGGCTGATCGACGTCTCTTCATTTGGATAGGTGTTTGGCCCGTCCTCAATGCTGTGTTAACTTGAGATGAACGTGTGTATTTAAATCCATGCACATAAATTTATGAAAGAAATTTAAGTTGCAAATAAATTATTTTTTTATGATAAAATAGAAGTAGGATTTTACAATTATGATACTTGGGAAAATTTAGCGCCAGCGTAGAATAAAATACTTTTGATTTCATAATAATATCATAAGGTTTACAGGCAAATTATTTCGTAATAAAAATTGAATTTTAATAGATAATGCATAAAATACGGCTGCTGTTTGAAGTCTATCCTACTTCAGATCCATCAACTGAATACTACATGAGTGATAGTTATTGATAATAGAATTTAACAAAAATAACGGACAGAACAAAAATAACAGGAAGTAATAACCTCATCCATAAAAATCACGATAAAATCTTTAGTTAACAAAGAAAAATCAGTGGTTATCATTAGCATAAAATTAATAAAATTTGTAACTGCTTTCGCCTGTAAATTATTTATTAATCCTTTATTAAACTCAAAAATTTCAATACATCCTTTGTTTAGCTCTTGCAAGAAACGCATAAAGTAGTAAAATCTTGCAACAATTTATCTTTAGTTCAAACAAAGAATAATACCTACATAACATAACACTTGCATAATTTAGCAACAACAGAATTTAATATACAACAGAATTTTGCCTAAAATCTTTACTTATTCTAAGTAACCTTTGTAAAGGCGACACTACACTACACAATTAGGACATTTTATCTGCTAGCATGCCAGAAATTTTAGGCCTAATATAATTCCAATTGTAATGAACTACTTTAACAAATAATTTTAATTTGTAATAAACTTTAATGCACTTTCCAAGTGATTTATCTAACATCAACTGTAATGATATCTCTGGTGCAATTGACCAAATGATTCATTAAACATCATGCTCATTTATATCCATACACTTGTTAGAAAGATTGAAAAATTCTGTGCAAGGAGCCTGAGTAGCACGATGGCCTTAGTAATGACAGGAAATTATTATAAGGGTATTTCTGGAATTTTAGTGTGATGCTAAATTTCCTACAAGCATTTTTATACAATTTATTCGTTTTTAAAGAAACTTGATCAAATAAATCGAAACTCATGACAAAATTTTGTTCGTTTAATAATCAAAGTTTCAAAATGTATCGTAAAATAATAAAAAAACTAAATGTAGACATTTTAAATATTAAATTTCTTACTAAACTGACTTCTTCTATCATTCATACTTAGGCAAAGTAATGCTATTAAAAAATATAATTTTTTAAGTAATCTAAAACAGAAATTTCCAAGCAGACAATACAAATATTCGAGCATTAATCAAAACATTTTACGAACAGTAAAAAGATTCTAAAATATTTATGAAAGCTGTATAGTTTTAAAACGCCTGGTGGCTGAGCGGTAGCACTTCGCGCTCCCGTGGCACAGGTCCCTGGTTCGATCCTCGGGCCGGGCAAGGTTTACTCAGCCTTTCATCCCTTCAGTGGGTCGATAAATGAGTACCAAGCATGCTTGGGAACTAAACACTGGGGGTTTCGCGTTCGGCTGACTACCTAACCGAAACATCTCCTCCTGCACTCCAGAGCCCAAAGGTCAAGAAAACTGAGATGGGCACAGTAAGCCTTGGCCCTCTATGGGCTGTCGCGCCGCTGAGTTTAGTTTAGTTTTAGTATAGTTTTAAAATTTTAATTCAAACTATCCCAATAAGAATCCGTGTATACTGAATATAGCACAGCTTCTATAACGATATTTACACTTTCATACTATTGTTTCTTTATTTCATTTTATTTTATTTTATAACCAGCATTGAGCAAGCGACCCGATTGCGACATATTTCTATCAATACTCAACTTTGAGCTTTGTAATTTTGAACCCAATGCAGAAGACAAGGGAACTCCTGGATAGAGCACTGGGACTAACTAGCCTTCTTGAAGCACTTTTTGAAGGATTTAACTCGTATTTGCTATACATAGTGAGAAAACCTATGAAAATCTCCGACAATTAGTCCGAAAACAAGGGTATTCTAACCCATCATCCGTCTAAAACTGAGGATATTTTACTTCAGCACTTTGGACGTTGAGATCGTTTCAACTAGCCACTGCTGACTATATCTGTTTTTTTATATCAGTGACAAAAAATTTCCTTTAAAACTATCATTTATCTCATTAATAGCTCAATTTTTATGTTCAACTTTAGGACCTGGCTCGTCATTTTTATTACGTAAAAAGCTCTTTCAAAACTAACAACGAAAAGCAAACATGATTTTGATTTTCTTTGTTTGTATTTTTGTTTCTCTTTTAAGTGTTGCTCTTTGGTCGAAATATCGATAAGCACTTATCGAAAACAAAGACTAAAAGAGGAAACATCTTTTTAAGAATCATGCTCATGGGATTTTTTGAGGTCAATTTATTTGCAAGTTATTAGTCCCTCAGCTCCTCTCAACCAAGTGAATCTCTATAAAGTAGAAAACTTTTGTTTCGGTCAATAATCAATAATTGGAAAAACATCCTAAACACTGCAGTAGCGTCAGACAAGTTTTAAAGAAAAACCATTATGTATCTTTTTGCATCAATTATTGTAATTGAAGAAATTTAATTAAAAACCATCAATGTGGAATCAAAAACCAATATGCTAAAAATGGCGCATTATTTTATATGATGTAGTTTAATTAGATAATATTCACCTAAGACTTTGAAAAGTAACACAAAGTACATTATTTTTATCTTCAGTTTAATATGTTTTGATTCAGTTAAATTAAAACATGTTAATACCCAGGTATAGTTTTTAAATACGATGCTCAATTAATATGCAAAACATCGTTTTTAATATTTATCCCAAAATTGCATTTTCATTTTCGGTTCACAATCAACATTAAGACCATCTATGTAAGTCAGAGCGTATTTATTTACAAATATGCTTTTCAGATGCGTTGATAAATTAATATGTCAGTCATCGATCGAAGTTTATGATCGGACATCTAATCAACATTCAGACCATCTATGTAAACCTGAGCATATTTATTTACAAATATGGTTTTCAGATGCGTTGATAAATTCATCGTTGATAAATTCATGCGTTGATGTCAGTCATCGATTGAAGTTTATGAGCAGACACAATTTTTAAATGCAATGATCAATCAATAAGCGAACCATTGATATAAAATATAATACTCATTCCAAAACATAATTTTCATATGGATTGTGCTCAATAAACATGCAAACTATCAAGTATATACATTATCAACAAAATTTGCTAATAAAAGCAGTACTAAATCAAAATTCAACCTATTAATTGTAAAAATATTATCGTCCTATCGTAGTATGTTTAATATTTTACCCAAAATATGATATTTTTTTTCAAATTTTCATATCCGATACTCAAATAACAAACAAACCATCTACATAAGTTTGAACATCGTTATCTTTAAACATTATTTTTAAATCCCGTACTCAATCAGCATGCAACCTACTGATATATCTTTAATATTTATCCGAAAATATCATTTTCTGATTTTTATATACTGCACTCAATTAACATGCAAACCATGTATATAAGTTTGAACATTGTTATCCACAAATATGATCTCCAAATCCGGTGCTCAATCAACATGCAACCTATCTATATATATCTTTAATATTTATCCAAAAATATCATTTTCTGATTTTTATATACTGTACGTAATTAACATGCAAACTATGTATATAAGTTTGAACATTGTTATCCACAAATATGATCTCCAAATCCGGTGCTCAATCAACATGCAATCTATCGATATATCTTTAATATTTATTCAAAAATATCATTTTCTGATTTTTATATACTATACTCAATTAACATGCAAACTATGTATATAAGTTTGAGCATCGTTATCCACAAATACGATCTTCAAATCCGATGCTCAATCTACATGTAACCTACCGATTTGTTTGATTATTTTTTTTATCCGAAAATGTGATTTTCAAATATAATGATCGTAATTTACTAAGAACTTCTAAACTATTTACTAAATTTGAAACGTAAAATGAACTTAATCGTTCGATTCTTAGTCCTCATATTGCACAGTTGTAAAGTAAAAATATCAAAGCTAAGCTTTTTGATAGACACACTAACATATTTCACAGATTCATTAACATTTTTTAAAACGTCGTTTTATCAAATTATTTTGGAAACTATAAGCTTTTTGAAAATGCAAAAAAAAAAACTATTATTGAAAATTGTAGTTTACTATTCCTTTGATCAAACTAATTAAATTTGCAGTTATAAAATGAGTAATGCAAAATAGAAAATTTGAGCAAAATTAGTCGAATAGTTTCTTAGTCAATAAACTTCATAAAAGCTATATTTTTTAACCTTAATTTCTCAAAAACTATTTCACCGATTTTGTTTAATTTTTGCATTTTGACATTTAAAATTACACAGTTTTAAATAAAGAAAAAAATTCATACTTTCCAGTTAAATTATTTTTCGATCCTTAATAAATAATATAATAAATATTTATTAAAATCTATCTTCTACTTGGAATTATATTTGGAAAAAAGAATTTTATAATTAAGTGCACAAATGTTTCGATACCGTTTGGAACTATTCGAAATATGGTTAAATACGCAAAAGGAAAATTAAAGAGCTGCTCTAACTTTTAAGCGTTCTCCTGTCTAAACTATTCTAACATATTTTATAGGTTTCGACTTGTATAAAAGTTCATAACGGCTAGCGGTTGCTGGAATTCGAATATATATATATATCAAAAGGAAAATAAAACAAAGGAAAATTACAGACATATGAATTAAGGGGGTAGAAGAAAAATAATAATAAAAATAAAAAAAACTGGGGGGGGGAATAAAATAATAAAAAAATCTGGAAAAAAAAAGATAATTTTTTTTAAAAATCCGGAAAATAAAAGATATAATTTTTTCAGATTATATCTTTTCTAAAGGTATAATCTTTTTATTTTCCGGATTTCTAAAAAAATTTTATCCTTCCTTTTTTTTGTGGATTTTTTTATTATTTTTAATTATTTTTTCCCCCAGTTTTTTGTTATTTTTTTTTATTATTATTTTTCTTTCTCCCCCTTTATTCATATGTCTGTAATTTTCCTTTGTTTTATCTTCATTTTGAACTTAGGAGTTCTATTTACTTGCAGCTTATGCGTAATAAATGAAACTTATTGTTTTTCTTAATTTTCTTCGTGTTGCTTTTCTTTTGATATGTATAAGTTCAAAATGAAGATAAAACAAAGAAAAATTTAAAGACATATGAGAAAAAGGGGGGAAATAATAAGAAAAAAAAACAGTTTTAAAAAAAAAAAAAAGCACTCAAAAAATGTTGAGTGCTCCTCACACTATTGTATTAATATATTTTGCTTTGGCTTTATTGATACAATATCAGAAAGCACTCTGTTTTGCGGATATAATCGTGTGGGCTGAAGAAAAGATTATATCT